GTTAGCAATTCTCTATGAAATGTCTTATAGAACATTACAATACAACTAGGGGAGAATGTCGAAAAATTGATCAACAATGAGTACCACTAGAATCAGTATTTTGATGAAAATTAGGAAAACATGTTTTATCCTATAATAATGTCTTTTTAGTTACCAGTTAGTACTGGTGATGTCTAGAGTCATATGCAGGGACATATGATGAGGCATTTGTCGACGGGTATACTGATAAAAGTTTAAGGTAAATTTAAAGAATACGATCCGAATTTCTTTGCTACTGTAACCTAAATTTGGTACTAGCCAGAAGAGACTGTTACTCTAAACTCTGTTTTCTGTTGGTTTTCGGAGCGAGATTTTCCATCGAGGCTCTGCTAAGCTAGCAGTCTTTCATCCTTATTCTAGCTGCTCTGCTGCATTCACAATCTGCAGGATACCCAGAGCTATTGTTAAAATATGTTAATGCATTGTTAAATGAAAAAGATAATAAACTGACCACCGTTTCTACTCGATTTAAAAAATCTGTAAAATGTTATGCTAGATATGAAGAATATTTAAAAGGACTACCAAATATAAATCTTAAATCAATGAAATTCAATGATTCTATATGGTATAGTGGTATTTATTATGAAACAAATTTAGAAAATAATAAAAAAACAAATGATTCATGTATTCTGTTTCAATTTCCCTCATTGAGAAATGAATATCAAATTGGTTTTATAGCAGCAATCTTGTCTTATGCACACAACAATGATCATCTAATCTTAGTTAATCGATTAAAAATTATTGATGAATTTACAGTTAATACAAGACGAGGTAAAGAGAGGATTAGAAATTTGTGGATTGTGGAACAAGACAAATATGCATAGGGTGTCATACGAGCCAGTGCTATATCTCAAAAACTAGCTTTCAAACGAATCAATGAGCATAAATTGTTTGTATTCAAATATCCGAATTTCAAAGAAAGTTTATAAGCAAAAAGGTTTTCTTTCTTTCTTTTATTTTTATTCTATGTATTCCTTCTAGAAAGATTTTGACCTATTCTCGTTACGTTCTAGTATTCAAATTCATAAGGTGTTTTTCAGAAAAGAGGCTGAAGAAGCGTTCACTGTTCAGAGCCAAGAGGAGTTTTCTGCTGTAAGGCCATACTTCAAAACCGTTCACATCGGGATGTGCCACATTAGAAGGTTTTATAGTTGTTTCGTTTTATTGTTCATTTTAGATAAAAGAAAATTTCGTCTATTATTCTTTGAATTTTGCAGCGTAGTACCAGTGGAGTGGCTGTTTGTCTCTGTAAAAACATGTCGATCTCACCGGACTATTCTGCAAATTCATATGTCATCGTTTTATCTATAGCTAGCCAGCTAGCGGTATAACTAGATCTAGGGGTACGTAAAACCGCCCACTACAGCGGGCGTTGCGTCTGGTGATAAAATGTAATAGCTACTATCCACAGTATTACTAGCTGCAGCTAGCGATTCTTGGTACGCTGCAACGGCTAATGATTACGTTACAGAAACTAGTTTGACTAGTTGCAGCGGCCGCTAAATTGAGCACTGCAGCTAGTTGGGCAGTAGATATTAAACACATTATACAAAACAGTTTGACGAGTTGCAGCGCCCGATTTAGCGGCCGTTACAGCTAGTTTTAACGAAAACTAGTTGCAGCGGCTGCTAAATTGAGCGCTGCAGCTAGTTGGGCAGTAGATATTAAACACATTATACAAAATAGTTTGACTAGCTGTAACGCCCAATAAATCTCTAGCTGCAGCTAGTTGTACACCGTTTTATAGTGGTAAAATTTCTTACCCGCTGCAGCTAGTATTGAAGCGGGTTAGCGGGTTTGTCCCGCTGCAG